ACTTTTACACAGGCTAAAATGGAACAAAACGTTGCCCTTTTTCTCTTGTGCACATGTTCACCTCTTCGTTTAGTACACATTTTCCAATTAGGTTTTGTTCAATTAAATACTCAATATGAGTTCGTCGGCAGTGAGGTTTTTTCAAAATTTTTCCCCAATAAAACCTTCTCGACTATTTCAGCACGCATTCCGTGACAAATAAGTTGACGTGCTCTTAGAACAGCATGTTGACCGAAGTATTTCTTTAAACGTGTTAAAGTGAATCACAAGGTGTTTATCAATGTGGAAACATGGATGATCAAGCAATTTTACAAACTTGAGGAAGGTTATGTCAACTGGTGATCCACACCATGGACAACCGCCTGGAAAAAGTCTGTTCATGTTTCCTATGCGCTTAGGTAAATATTGTAATGGAAGAGGCAGATCTGTGTTGACAGTCTGGGTTAGAGTTGGTGTGAAATACATGCGAAATAATTATTAAATACCAGTCCCGGATCCACTGACTCACCAACTGAGCACAAGACAAAGGAAAAGGCAAAACCAAAGCGAAAACCTACGTAGGGAATCATTTTTCCCATAGTTCAGACGTAACAGCTATTTGAAACGCTACTTCTATCGATGCTTTTAATTTGGGTCCACAATATACCTGAAGGAAATTTCCCTAAATGATTCTTCACTTTCAGTAATACAAACAGCTTACGCACTTTTTCCTGCCGTTCCGTCTTGGCGATCATCCTCCGCGAACTGAATAAACCACTGCAATTTTAAGTTGCTTTCATGTGCGTATTTCATCCCAGTATGCCTGCTACTTTCATAGTGAGAACATGCGAATTCAAAAAATGGTTGTAATTTGAACAAGCATTGTGAACATATTGGAAAATCGAAAAATGTACTTCAAATGAACCGCGTCCGGTGAGTCTTCCGAGGTAACGAACCGTTCGGGAACATGGGAGGGTTAATATGTCGCCTTTTTTAAGCTGTTTGATGAGTTGGAAATCAAATCAGGACTGTTTGTATACCTGCGATAATTAGAGCGTGACGATCCACCTCCACTGAAGCTGTGCCCCAACCAACTAAACACTCACATTTGGAATTCAGTATCACTTGATTGCACATTTGACGTCGTCAGCATAATACCCATCCAACCAATATTTTGACGATACTCTGACGCAACGATCTCGTTCCCATTACACCATTGCCTACAAGAACGCAGCAGAACAGAGACTATTTAAACGTCATCTATTTTCTTCCAGGTGTTTCTCAAACACAAACGATACATTCGTTTTTTTGAAATAATCACTTTATGTGCTTCATGAACAACATTGTCTCATTTGAACCATTGCGTAGCTTGTACCATGTTAGCAGGATTTCCATCCACGAATATGTACCGCTTCAGTGCATTCTAAGAACCTTTGCGCTGCCACTAGTTTGAACTCCAGTTACACCACCGTTTAAGTTGGCCCCTCACACCATGATAACTTTGTTGAATGCGTGACAGATTTCATTACCGAAATTTTCAAAAGCTCCGCCATATTTAGAACTCTTCTTCAAGTTACAGCCAATTGGGTTTATAATAGACTCATGCAATTGTGCTAAAGGATGTCCCGCCTTCACGATTCCCTTTACCCAATTATGTGACGCAGCAACATCAGCTTTTTTTCTCTTGTATCAATGACCATAAATCTGGGAGGGATTTCGAGAAGTTTTCAATTTTGGTTGCTCATAGTGAATTGTGTTTCAATTATATGAGTACTGCACACAAATATCCTAGAGACGGAACACATTGGCAATCCGGCAACATGGCGTCCATCAAATCACTAACACTTTACCCGACATAGTTTCTCAATGAACCAGATGGTTTTAATTTGCAGAGTACACTAGTGCACCGTGTTTCATCAAGCGTATTACGTCAGACCGTATTACTAATAGCAAACTAAGGGCTGGAACTATTTGTATCCAAATAATTACATGACAGCAAATCTCTCCTTTGATTGCAGCAACGGGCTTTGTGTGGAATCGGTAGTGACTTTAGTTATCCAGGCGAAGCTTATTAATTGTTCCAAGTCAAACAGTTTGAATCCACCAATATGTAGTTTTCCGATCGAGAGAATAATATGCTTCTTGTACCGAGGCCGCAGACGAGGACGCTTCTCTCACTCTGCCAATGGCCTCCCACTCCCAACAGTGATTATGCATAAACTCATTTGGTCAACAGTCACACGAAATATGATGAAAAACTATTTTTGGTTAATACTTTCACAGACAGAGGACAGAGCCATTGCAAAGCTGCTTTTCCAGTGTTGTGACTCCATTCTGTTTTGTACATCTTATGCAACAATAGGCCAATTTATCATCAGTGGCTCACTCGGATTACATCGTATGAATAAAATACCCTTTATTATATATGCTTTGTTGAAGTCTGTATTTATTAACTAATTTTGGTAGAGAAATAACTTTCAGTGACATTTCTCAAGCATTGATTCATTCTAATTATGACAAGTTTTACCCTGAGTCAGAGAATCAGTATAAGCTGCAATCTTCACTACAGTGATGTGATACATATCATCCCGGTCATTCTGTAGACGATGACCTCGTATTTTGGGATAATTTACTATTACGGTGTTTAGAATGATCTCGTTTCTCACATATCGGAGTGATGAGGTCTGGCGAGTAATACAAATAAATATGTCACAATCGGAACACATTGACAATCCACCGATATCGCGTCCGCCAGTTCACGAACAGTTTGATCGACCTAATTACTATGTAAATCACCTGGTTTTACCTTGCACCATCAAATAGCGCAACTTATTTTATTATGCGTATCAAATCAGTCCATAATATTAGGGATACTTCATTAAAGGCTGAATTTGATTTTATTCAGATAATTTTATGACAGCTACTCACTCTCGATCACTGTTATTTACACTGTATTGCAAGGGATGAGATTTTTGGCAAAGCTTTTACACTGTTTCAATCCAAGAGTTTTATTCTACCAACTAGTTGTTTGTCGATCGAAAATGTAATCTGCTTTTTGTACCGGAACCGAAGACGACGACGCTTCTCTTACTCCATTTTTGACCTCCCACTCCCTGAACCGATTATGTACGAACTTGAGTGGTCAACAATCACACGATACCTGATGAAAAAATATTACTTGATTAGCACTTTCATAGATAAAGGACAGTACTGTGGTAGAGCTATTTTTCAAAATTTTGACAACGTTTTGTTGTGTACTTCTTACTCAATAATGACCAGTTTGTCTTAAGTGGCTCGCTCGGAATAACTTGTATGGTAGAAATACCCTATATTAAAGTAGCTATGCTGGAAACCGAAGTTAATGCCCGATTTCTGAGAAATAACTTAACAGCACAATTTCTCAGGCATCGATTCAGGCGAATCATGTTTTACCAGGACTAGGTAAACAAGTATCAGCTGCACTCGTCACCACATTGATGTGATAAGTATTAAGTTGGTCATGTTGTAGGCGATGACCTCATATTATTGGGACAGTTTACAACTATGGTGGTTCGAATGATCTCACAGATCTCACAGATCGCGTTGACAGTGCATCATCTGCTCACTGCGTGGTACTTCCGATTGGCATTCAATTTATTATGGTGAAAGGTGCCCGAGAATCCTTCTTTATGTTTATTGATAAAACTAATACACACATTCCTTTACTTGCGTTCCCATCTGCTAATCAGGAGCCCATTTTGACTGACACATTGTTTATAAAATGTTTGTATTTTGTTTCAGAACCAGGACTACTTAAGGTGAGTTCAGACTATGATTACCGTTGGTAGGCTGAAAATTCAGCTGAAAGAAACGAGAACTATACTGTATGCCTTTGCTGTAGGCGAAGGCACACCAATTTTCCGTCAGGCTAGGAAGTAAGCAAGTGCTTCCTGAAAAGCTTTCTTGCACGGAGGTAAAATCTGTAGCCAATAAATACACTTGGTACACATTGATGATATCGAATCTAACAGTGATTAAATGTAGGCGACCAAGAAGACGATTCAAGCTATCATGAATCAGTGAATATCTCCAAAATTGGACCTACATACTGCTTGAACATCTTCAAGATTATTCAACAAAGCTGAATGTGTTTGTTGTTCATCTGCCACGCCCACAGGTAATCCTTATGAACATGGTTGCAGCATCCTTCGATGGCAAACTGCGTCTCTTCTCAAGAAATTCCATTCGGTGTTCTATGACCCTTCTAGCTCTCTTATTCTTTCACTTGGCTGCACCGAAATTGTGATAGGCTTACCAGTGTAATACCTGCACTGTATCGAGTGAAAAACGCAGTTACATGGAAGGCGATTAGGTTTCTATTTAAACTGAACGATGAACTGCGAGCAACGTTAATAGAAGGTTAAATATTCATCTCATCAACCGAAATTTCGAAACTGGGACTAGTTTCATTAGTACATTTTGACCCGGAATAAGTGTTCGGAATATTTTTTGCAATTCGAATTTTTATAAACAACAGTTGATTCAGCGTGAATTTTGAAATGAAGTGTGCTGTGCTTAGAGCTTGACATGTATTCTAACCCGAAAACCCTGTCTGTTCATCTATGAAGTTTCATTTTAGAACACGGGAATCACTGTACTTTGCTTTCTTGCTCAAAAAGGAACTCGTCATGTAAACATTTCTGATTTAAGTTACCGGATTGCAACTGGTTATCATCCTCCTTGGTCAGCTTGCAGCATCTCGACGATGCAAGATCAGTAACGAAACTAGCATTCATTCAAACTGAAATAGAGCCATTTTATTGAGCCACGAAATCCGAGAGATCGACAGGAAAATAATGCAAACAAGTGCAAAGTATACAACAGACAGTGTGCATGGGGAGAAAATGTTCCATACAATCCGGTTTCGATGAATCCATTCAATCGGTTATGTGAACAAGGAAGAGATACAAAGAACAAAGGAAAAAGACAGAAGAGTGGGGAATCGTTTCGCGAGGATTGAGAAATCCTCATGTATGCACATATCATTGAAGAAGTATTGAAAATTGTTCGTGTTTTGAAAAAGAATCAGTGATGTTTGTGGTCACCAATGTGGAAAGTGTACAATAAAATTCAACAAAACGCACAGAATAGTAGAAGTCTGAACAAGTTGGAAGGGGGAAAAACTGTTGTGTTTGTTTGAAATGAGATGAGGAAATGCGACCTTCCGAAAGGAAAATGTAATTTTAATCTGGCTATGTGGGCACTAAGTTTTCACAGTTTTTGAAACACAGATTTTTACTAACTATTTGAGTTAATGGAAATTAATTATATACTAAGGCTTAGAAAGCAAACAATAGCAAAAAATTTTCGGAAGTGAAAAACTGACTACAACACAGCACACGTTGATTTGTCCCACTGAAGTCGAAGAGCCCATTGTTCCTGGCGAATTCAGCACTTTTCGCTGTAAAAATAAACAGATAATGATACTGACGTACAACGCAGAACGTTTTATCAATCGGACTAGGAAAATATGCTAACTCATAACGTTTGATCTTTTCTGTTTTTCAAACTATGAAAAATGCTGTTGAGTGTACGAGAAGCAAATAATGCAATCAACTGCACTTGAGTGTGATTACGACATCTTCGGAAACTGTCTTTATTTGTTTGATTGAAGGAAACCGTTGTTTCTGCTAAATATTCCCTGGGACCTGAACCTAAAGTTAATTATTATGATTTCTATCAGACTTTTTCCAGTTTTTCGTCGAACTACACCGCTCTTTGACATAACCAGCCTTCGTCAAAGAACTTCAGGCATAACAACCCGCAATGATTTCTTACACTGAAGCAAAGGGCTACACAATAATATCATGGCATTCGATGAAAAACCAGACCTTGTTACCACATGACGAACCTTTGGATGAAAGCACAAAAATCCTTTTCGACAACAGAAGAATTGTTTAACTTACCACAACATGCGTGAAGTTGAATTGTTCCATTTTCCGGCCAGCTTCCATTGTAACTGAATATTTGGTTTTCCACTAAGTAAAAGGAATGATTGAGCTGCAAATTAATGTTTGTCGTCCAGTGTCAAGCAGGTTCAACAGTCCGTTCATATTAAACATTTCAAATCATCATGTCATGGAGTTCGAACTTAAATCTAGCATTTTCCAGTGATAAGAGACCAAACAAGTGGATTGAGATAACACCACACAGTCATGATTATAGGGAAAACATTGAGACTATCATTTGGACAAAAAATGTTCTATCTAGAGAACGAACGGTCATGAAAATTATGCAGTTGTTCATGTTGTGATAACAGCTGTATCCGCTGAGTTTTCATGGAATCGTGTTGTCCGAGAGATTCTGCGGACGTCAGTTCGTACCACAATCCAAAATCTCTTCGTGAACAGTTTCACTCTACACGGATGATGGGTGTATGCCGTTCGGCAGATCAATGCAGCAACTCGCCTGCCACCGTGAGCAACGCGCATACATGTAAAAGTTAAGTAGCAAGAGCCATTGACTAGAAAAACCCATAAATACTCACGGTTGTGATTTGTTTGTAAACACGAAGAAAAAGCCGTGTGCTAAAAAGATGTTTTGGTGAACTACAATATGAATGTGAATGAAATCGACCAACACATTTCCCAATCCTAATGAAAAATGACAGTACTCAATCAGGCAGACGATTTTAGTAGAGGTAACCCGTGCATGAGAAAAAACAAAACAATTTGCTCACCTGATTCTTTCACATCATTTCTACGTAGCCTGCAAACTGTGGGTCTTAAGTTTGGAATATTTCTTTGACGAAATCCTGTGATTCCAATTCCGAGTCCCATTGCATAAGTTCAATGGGATATCCAATGAGAGGGTCCCACTTTCAAGTACAACCATCCCTGATTGTCCTGATATATTCACATCCATGAAAAAAGACATAAACATCCGAGGATAATCAATTTAAAGGCGGAAAATTGTAACGACCGAACAACCCGAATGTCAAACCCGTGCTTCAGTTTGCTGTCGTGTTTCATTTCTGCGTGAATTGATCGAATGTCGGAGTGTTAACGTAAGTGAAACTGATCAACTTATGAGCCAAATGTTCCCCTCTGTCTGATTCGTGGTGGGAAAACGTAGTCAATACGTCCCTGTTTTTCTCGAACCTACCAGAGCGGACTCATGGGAAAAATTAACATAGCGCAGTAACTAAACTGTTCTTTTATTGGCTCCCAGATAAAACGCCTGTGCGCTCAGGTTTGATTTGAATGAATAATGATTGGTAAACCCACCCTGTCCGCAAACGCTTAACTCTTCTTCTTTGAACCTCACGGATTGGATGAGTCATGCGTGTTGTCAAGGCGGTTTCATTGTCTATCGGTGGGATACATTGAACATTGTGAATTCAGTCCACGGCAATATTGACTTACTCAATATGTGATTGCAAATACAACATTGATTTTCACATAAATACATCATCTTGCAACCATGGTTTATTCTATTCCGGGATTTGACGACTTTATATACTAAGTCGGGGAGGGAGGGGTGACCGCCTTCGTTGTAATTCGCTTCATGTATGAAAGGAATAAAATTGGTTTTGACACTGATTTGTCTAATGGAACTCTGTAATTGAATGACATTCAAAACTCGTATAATAAGTAAACAGTTTGCTTGAAATTTAACTCCTGGTTGCTGTGCTTGTCCAAACGTATACCGTCCATACTATTTCCGTAATTAGTACTCCAGTGCTAGTTCGCGTGCCTTCTTTGGCCTCCATTTGTCGCCCAGTTACTGGTTTGCGTTGTCATGGTAATCCGCCTGCATAATGCACGAGTTCCTTTATTCAATGGACAGCAGTTCAGGTTGGCAATCGTCGGTAATTTAGAATAACCTTGTAGTTGGGGGATAGTAAGTCAGATAAGAAAAAGCTCACTTTTTCGGAAATGTAGGCTGACGTTTCCTTCTAAATAAGTGCAAACTAGTGTACAGTTTTCTCTTGGTATCTTATTGTGATTTGGGCGTTCATCTTGCATGAAGAAAGGATCATCGAGAAAGCCGACAGACCAATCAAAATTACCCATTGTTTCGCCGACATCGCCAAATGTCTAGTGATACTTATGGGTTCCGCGCTCTCGCACCCATAATGAAATTTCAAAAATGCTTCATTATAGAAGCTTGATACAAAACCAACAGTAATTATGAAATGGAATATTCGGCAGTTGGAAAATCCATAACATCCGAGGATAATCAGTTTATGGGTGAAACATTGTAACGACCGAACAGCCCGAATGTCAAACCGTGCATTAGTTTGCTATCGTGTTTCATCTCTCTAAGAATTGGTTGAATGTCAGAGTGTTAACGTAAGTGAAACTGATCATTTTATGAGGTTTGATTTGAATGAATAATTATTGGTAAACCAACACTGTCTGCAAACGCTCACCTCCTCTAATGTGATCCTCACGGATTGGATGAGTCATGCGTGTGGTCAAGCAGGTTGCATTGTCTATCGGTGGGAAACATTGCACATAGTGAATTAAGTCCACGACAAAATTGTAAATACAACATGGATTTGCACATAAAATACATCATCTTGTAATCATGGTTTATTCTATTCTGGGATTTGACGACTTTATATACTAAGTCGGGGAGAGGCGGGGGGGGGAACGCTTACGCTGTAATTCGCTTCATGTATGAAAGGAATAAAATCGGTTTCGACATTGATTTGTCTAATTGAACTCCGTCCGTGAATGACATTCAAAACTCATATAATAAGTAATTAGTTTGCTTGAAATTCAACTTTTATTTTCCATGCTTGTCCAAACTAATACTGTCCATTTTATTGCCGTAATTAGTATTCCAGTGCTAGTTCGTGTGTCTTCGTTGGTCTCCGTTTGTCGCCTAGTACTGCTTTTTGGTGACATGGGAATCTGCCTACGTAATCCACGAACTCCCCATTCAATGAACAACAGTTCAGGTTAGCAATTGTCGATAGTTTAGAATAACTTTATAGTTGTAGGATAGTAAGTCAGATACGAAAAAGCTCACTTTTTCCAAAATGTGGGCTGACGTTTCCTTCTAAACAAGTGCAAACTAGTGTACAGTTTTTATTTCTTGGTATCTTATTGTGATTCGGGCATTCATCTTGTATGAAGAGAGGATAATCGATAAAGCCTACAGAATAATCAAAATTACCCTTTGTTTCGCCGACATCGCCAACTGTCAAATTATATTTACGGGTTCGCGTTTTTACACTCATAATGAAATTTCACAAATGCTTGATTATAGAAGCTTGATACGAAACTAACAGCAATTGTGAAATGGAATATTTTGTAGTTGGAAAATCCATAACCACCAAAGAATTTTGGATGTGCATAGCCTTCGGCAGTTTGGGTCCCAGTACAATTCACAAGTACCGCGAATTCGTGACAAATAAGCCTGGACAGGATGGACCGTTAACATAACACATGGTTTCATCCAAATTGCACTTCTTAATAGAACTTCGTTGCAAATTGATCTGATGAACAGAAGCACAGGGGAGCTTCTGAAGGTTTGCAGGACAGGATTTTTCGTCAGAATTGCCTTTTGTCATAGACGTTCGACTCTGCAATAATAATCTTTCAGATAAGACGAAAGCTGAACTGATGATTTCAGTCACTCGCAAAGGCAGAAGTTTAGAAAAACCGGAACGTCATTTGCATTACGAAAAAGCTCATTCCGACTGGCATCTCGATGAAAGTATTATGGGAGCAAACCCCACATGTGACATGTTCTACAAAGTCACGCTACATTGAAATCAGAAGACAGATAAGCTCACAAATGGATAATTTTGGTTTGCAAATATGCACGTTTTGGTAGAATTTTATGCAAATAATGTCCAGCGGAAAACTTAAGAAAGCCTCAGTTGGGGTTCCATCATATAAGTAGTCGTCGCGAGTGTTTCATATAATATTAGACGATTCAGTTTCAAATGAAAGCACGACAGCTTCAGATTAGTAGCCAGATAAAGCCGCTACATAAGATGGGGTTCATTGTGTAAGCTTGAGTTCTGCATCTCATAACCAACGATGAATCCATCAGTTTACTGTCTGCTTTTATAACAGTGAATTCAGTTGTAACTTCCACGCTTACACACTTCGGATTTCTTGCGAACAGCCTCGATTTGATTAGGACTAGGTATTTTTTCTAGCGTATATCAACGATTTTATCACATTTTCTCCTGAAGCCACAGAACACCTTACCCACAGGGAAACCTCGTAAGTAGGAGACACTTAAGAAACGAAAAGTTATAAACGTCTTCGGAATTTCGAAGACATAAGTATGGCTTTTGATTTCACTTCAAAACGTAGATTGTGAATATCACACTAGAACTCATGGTAGCACTCCACACGTGATACATTTTTGCTAGGAATCACCGGTAAAGTTCATACTTGGCGAAATACAACTTGTACCAAAACCTAGGATGTTACGTCTGAGAGTTGCACATTTTACGAATAGGCCATCCGGTCTGTTTCAAATCAACGTTGCACGATGTGATGACCGTTCCAGATCCGTGACGATTCGAAGCCTCTTTTTGATCAGCAGAACAGAGAGAGCCGATCTCTGCCTTTTGGTAAAACAACTTTGAAATGCTAACAACTTCATTCATAGAATTCTCAAGTTGGATTGTACGGTCAAAGTTGTAAAGAGTGCAACCTTTAGGAAGGTTATCAAAAATACCACCCGAAAGGTCTAACCAAAATGTGGTCAAATGCCATTGGCCTCCATGTGGAACAATAGCTCTCCAGGAATTCTAAGTACCTAGTTATGGGAATTTATAAAGTGTTCAATACCGTTGAAAAAGTGACAGAAAGAAAACGTTCCTCTTTTTGACGCGTTGAACTTCGCCTGTTTCAGGGCATATTCAGTAACGCTACACTAAAATATGTGATCGGTATCTGTAAAAGCCTGTACATACGGGAGTGATGAGTTTTTTGAGCTGATTGTCATTAGATGCATTTGAACGGGAAATTACTTTTAAGATCGATGTGCGAATAGGTCCCGATTCCACATTGAAACTCGTGCAAAGCAGGGTAATGACCTGAATCATGTACGATGTGGTTCAAACATATTCACTTTTGGAACACCTAGCCACCTTCGCATATATTGACCCTAACGAGACTGAAAGCTAAAACAACTTGGTTTTCTTCATTATTGCTTGCAATAGCGCCTAGATATTTCTAATCAAAAGTAGTGCTTGAATGTTTACGTTTTGCTTTCTGGATGTTGACTTTCACCCCAGTGCAATGCACACCGTTACTTACTTCAGATATATTCGTTTTCAGCACACCACACGATAATAAGGGAAGAAAAGATCCTGTCGTTTGCAGGATTATTACAAATTTTCATCGCCACTAGAAAACGGAGCCGATGGACTCCAACAATCCCACCCTTTCCCTCACCGCCCATAAAGAAGCGGAATTTTTCCGTTTTCAGTAATTATTTGTTTAAGAAGGCAAAACAAGAGTTATCCAACAAAACGCTAATATATAACCCCGAGGTTCGCGAAATAAACCAAATGTTTTCCTCCAGCCAGTTAACTATCTGTTCTGACTTCGTTGATGAACTGTTAAACAACAGTATTGTCTGAATACGTTTGAGTTTTGGCTTATTTCTGAATGGCGAAAACAAGCCATACAGACGAGAAAAATGCTACCTGAAGAACCTTCAATCATTCTCCAAAGGTTTGTCATAACTTTGGTAAATTCTATCATGATTGATGCAAAATCCCAAATAACCGATCTTTGATTCCGGTCGATCGCATTACACTTACTGGTACTGATGTTAGGTTCAATGTGAACCCTTAATT